TTAGGATCGGTTGGGAGACAGGGTGGTAGTGGGGAGAGTAAGAATGATTACCTCTGAAATATTTAATGTTACGAGGATTTTATAAACCAACGAAAAAGTTTATCTCAAAACATGTAAATTAATTCCAAGTAAACTTTTTAAGTGTGTTTGATATCGCCAATCACAGCTTACTCTTTTCACAATGCTGACACTATTTAATTTTGTTGAATTTCATCCTAGCCCCTTGTTCCCTGTTTTCCTTATTAGGAGGATCGGTACTACTTGAAATTTTTCAAAGGTGCTGTGTCGGGTATCGATTTCAAGAAGATCGGTATGATCATTAACATGGTATGGAGCACAAGCTTTCACCATGCAGCATGGTGAAAGCTTGTGCTCCATACCATGTTAATATTACAGGCCAAAGAAAGCACCTATTGTCATATTGCCTACACTGTGTTTAAGACACATTGCAGGTTAGGGTGAAACTCAAGGTTGAAGGATTGTAAGGGCAAGGCTTCAATTGAGTTACATCATAACTATTGAGAGTCATACCTGCATCCCTGCAAATTAAACCCTCCATCTTGCCTAGATACTGAAGGCCTAATTGCACAGTCTTTAGTGCATGGCCCTCTGTACTGTGTGGGAGGTTCTGAGTTTGATTCCCTATAGGTGTGACCTCAAATCCTTGTTTGGACTTTTTCCTTTGCATGTTGCTTTAGGTAGCTTTAAATACCTGTAAAATACAGCATTGATGGAGAGAGGGGTGTAAAATGAGCACATTGTCAAAATCAGGTTTCTTAGTTAAAGTATTGTTATTCGCATTACTGATGCAAATAAATGTATTGATTTTGACTAATCAGTTCAATAACCAGAGTATAATACCATCAACTGATGTGATACAACTCACTTTGACTCTGAAGATGACTACTGCAAAGGTTGTCGAAACGTCAGTCAGTGTCAACAACAACAGTCCTATTCAGGACTACGTTCACCCGAACAATCAAACTCAACCTACTTTTTGATTTTTGTTTGTTGACCAATTATGCGAGGGGAAAACTTCCCTGGTTATGGTGTGTATGTCCATTTCTACAGATAGAACATCACCAAAACAAGTAGTAGAAAAGAAATACATTAAGAAACTGTGTATAGTCTGAAGATATTTCAATAATATGTTCCAGCTCTGAAGGAGCAAAACACAACTGTCACCTGTGCCAGGTTCTCAGATAGTGAAAACAAGTTTTGCAAAAATAAGATGTGTGATCTGGGATAGTGGAAGGTGGTAGGAAACCCGCCTGTCATTCAGATCAGTTTACATGATCTTTCCACATTACTATCTTGGAACAGGCTAATCTAATAATAAATTGCATATTACCTGATTAGTAAAGAGATGCCTGGAAAAGAATCAGCCTTATGTCTGTAGGAATAAACAGCTTACAAATGTCACGTTAAGTAGCTACAGCATCAGAGACTAACAGGTCAGATTAAGAGTCCCTTACAGCCACTTCATTCCTTTGTTTTACATGTATTTTTTTATGGGTGCAGGATTCAGTAATCATTACCATGTGTGTCGACCTTAATATAGGGCACTTCAATTTGTGTCCATATCATCATACGCTCAGCAAAGTCAGAAAATGTATAACCAAACATGCAGATGATGAAATTGGCTCCAATCAAAGGAAAAAGGAAGAGAGGTTAATAATGCCCCCGTCCCCCCGCTACTTCACCTATCACGGAACTGTATTCAAGCCAGTGTCAACTCTTGGGTTCATGTTTTAAGTTGGCTAAGAGGGGCTTAGCCAGCTTCCCCCCTTTTCCACCCTGCTGCCACAAGAGTGCCCAGGAGAGCTTGCTTGTGTGCTAGGAGGGGCATGGAGGCAAATGCCTCCAGAGTACTTGCAGCACAATATTGCTAACTGCAACCCCTTTGGGGAGCCTGGTTAATGAAACTAGGCTACATAATTAACTATGAGTGCAAAAATATGCAAACACGCATGCCAATAGGGGGTCGCTTATGAAAATGGTTCAACTGTGATAAAGATTGCTTGCTGAGCGACAGTCTTTTGTCAACACAATAACAGAAATACTTTGTATTAATTAACCAAATATTTTATTCTTATTTTGGTAAATGATCTCCTGGCAGACTATCATCCTTAATGTGACTGATATATAAAACAAATGGTGAGGATATTAACATGCAAATGACTTGTAGCACGATACACATGTACATCAGTGTAACATAGGGCACTTTTATGAAAATGAGTAAAATATTCCCAAACCAACAGTACTTGCCAGATATTAAGTAATTAACATCAAACAAACATATTTGGAAAATTTTCATGGTATAATTCTTGTCTACAGCTTATTTTAGAAATTACCCAGAATCCTTTTTGGGCGTGGCATCTGACTATTTGGCTTGCTTAGCATGACTATTATCACTAAAGTACAACAAATTTATTAAGCTCGTAGTGCTTTTTGTCTGCCTCTTTCTTTTTCTTGATCTTTTCTTCCCTCCACATTTTCATCTTTTCAGCATTTGAAAGGCTTTTCTTCTTGGTATTGTGTAACGCAATCGTGACGTCCACTCTATTTTTACCTCATGTTTTCCCGCTTTTTGCCCCTGATTTGTTATAAAACACCCCCCAGATACTAAGGAGAGGTTACACAGGACTCCTTCGATGTTTCTTGTGGATTTTGGCTGGAAAATGGCTTGAATTCAAGTTTCATTTGGGAAGTTTTCTGCTGCAAGTGTGGTGGTAATTCGATCGTTACGCTTAGACAAGCATGGCGCTCAACTGGAAATATGTTTCCGATTCACCATTTGTAGAATTTCTTCGTTTTAAGCCTACTGAAGACTAAAAACCTTAGCAGGATTTGAAGACCAGTAACTGAACTGTGTTGCAGCCATGCATCAGCGACCGTTGTTTACTAGAGGCTGAGATACAGGTTTTCTTTTGGGTAAGTAATATTTAATTTCACACATCAAAAGTACACAACAGTTTAGTTTCCGAACACGAAAATTCTTTATTTCTTCATCGCAGTGAGTAATCTTTAAAAACCTGTCTTACTCGGTTGTAAACAATGTTATGAACTTTACTCAGACGAATTATCTTCTTTTGTAGGTGCGTTTGGAAGTCGCTAGCCTTATATTTGTAAGGCATGGAGCGCTGTTGGACCTTGCCCGTTACACAGGCACTTAATGGCAACCGTCCCTAGAATTATATTTCATGTTATTTGAAAAATAAATGCAGAGAACTGTGATTTTGCGTATGGTGTCCTTTTTTCCTATTTAATATTTCTGCTCTGTTGAATTTTCTTAATGAGACAGTGTTAAGGGTGAAATTTTACTTTTTTAACTATTTCATGCAAATTAGCTGTTACGCGTTACACGCTGATTTTGTAACTATTTTCTTTCATCTTCAAGATTTTTTTATTCCTAGGTTCTTCCAAATGATATTTTTTTAACATATCACTTAACTACAATCCTTGTTGAAGTAAGGTAGAAAGTTTAAACAAAATCCGTCATTAGCTTGCAAAGATATAGGAAAATATATTGGAGGAACCACTAATGTACATGTGTATCGTGCTACAAGTCAAATACCACAGAGAAACAATAATTCAGACAAACAGTAGAAAACTATTTTTATTTGCAAGGCAAGGGATTACAGATACAAACATAAGAAAAACTGCACTCAATACAGATATGAACAAACCATATGCTAATTAATAACTTTGTGACCAGCATCAATGATATCTTTGACTTTTTGATGCAGTTATAAGATCCTCTCTACCAATTCAATGAAATATTTCATTTGCTTTATTATATTAATATACTGAGACAACAACTGTCAAAGAACAAATCAATTCCACACTATGTTTGCCTTGCCCTAGCAGACTAAAATAATACTTTCTTTTGTTTTAGATACAAACATAAACACCAGTAAATGGCACATTTGACTGACATAGCTAACCAAGCAAGCAAATACACGTTTTATACATTTTTGAGTCATTCCATAAAGATTAATATATTTTGACACTGAGTAACCAGCTGTTCCATTGAAATTTCAGTTTTCTTGCACCTACAATAAGATAATTTAATAAACACGACCAAAATTACCGATTGCTCACTTTCCAAGCACGGATATGGATAATATAATTCGATTAAATGAAAGAGTGGTTCTCATTTAATAACAACTGTCGCTTCAGAACAGTAATAAGTGTTTGTCTCTGCAGTAAAATCCCAGTAACAATTGGCATTCCATACAACGCATTTTTACCGATGTTAATTCAGCATATCGTGACCGTTCTAGTAAGATACACTTGAAATATTTTGCCGTTTGCTAAACGCGAACATTGCCGGCAAAGAATTTCTGATATGTGTAATGGCTATGCACCACGCTTTAGGTTTTCCGCTTCGTAAAACCTACAATAAGACTATGACAAGGTAAACGTAAACAGCATTTTCATCGACTGAACTATTCATGAGCGGTATTGGTTTCCAAGTGCTACGCAACACTGTTTTAAAATTTGTTTACCCTTAACTGAATAAACTGTACGAAAAAAATGCATTTCAAAACAGAATATTCAAACTTATGTTTTACGTCTTTTTGCCATTGGTTGCTGGTCATCTAAATCAACAAGTATAACACACGCTTATAACATCACCGATATGGTCACAACACAAATGTACGCAAACGAACGAGAACCGAGTTTCCCCTATTCTACGTCGCTTCTCCTTCGTTTTGTTTTACAATCTAGATAGTAAAGTAAAACATAATAAAACAGAGAGAGAGTAAAACATAATAAAACAGTACACAGAAGGTTGATACTCCTATTAAAAGATATTCATGCAGGCTTAGCTTTCGAAATCACCAGCACGTGTATTGTTCATTTATAACATTGCTACCGACAAAAATGAATAATTTCGCATTTAAGTTACTGCAAGAATACAAGACTAATTTTAAGTTCCACGAAAGCTAGATTAATTACCAATATCCCCTGTTGAAACTATCATCTACATGGCTTCATGAAGTGGACGGTGTTTTCTTTTTCTTGTGCTGAAAAGGGTTTGGAACTTTCATCGAACGGGCCCATGCATCTACGATCACTTCCTCTGACGGTGAGGTCCTAGTAAAAGCCTCTACATTACTATCAGGATTTTCCAAGTCTTTCCCGTTGGCTGCGTCCATGTATCGGTGAATGCCTTCAAATTCTTCGGGAATTTCAAAGTCTTTGAAGGCTTTAGCGACGACTTTAATGTGCAAGAGCTTGGGAAGCAAGATGCAATCCGGAATGAGCAGACAATCGCCGCCCAGAAATCTTCCCGGCATAGCATCAGACCTTAAAAACGAGTCCAGAGCTTTAAGCTCCTCCTTTAAATTTGCTTTGAGCTTATCATCAGTGTTTGGATCTGCGTTTTTGACTAGTTGGCAGAACTTGTGGTACACTCTGCTTCCACAGCCCTTGGAAACCAGTGCATTCACTTCATCATTTGTACATTCAAGAGGATGGTCTGGCATGCGCTTGATCAAATTCTCGATATCGCCTGGGTCCTCGATCAAGTCATTATCCATGAACTTTAGAGCAGGTAACTTCTTCATTGTCCTGCTCTTAATCGCATCGACGAGTTCGATGTTGACCGAGAGATCTTTCAAAACCAGCATCATCATAAACCTCTGAGCAAATACATCGGCGCCGAAATCGGACTCGTTTATCGTCGAGGCCTGTTGGAAGGTACAAAAGAAACGGTCAGCCCCCTGCTAACATCGAAAAACCAACAAAAAGATGCACTTTCCAAAACGAAAAGTACCTTGACAAAAAGAGTCAGATCCGATTGTTCGGCCATTGCAGAACACACGGCAAAAAAGGGCCCACAAAACCAGCCAACCTACACACGTCCACACTACAGTCAATGAATCGATCGATTCTTCGAAGGCGCGCCCATTCTCGTTACCAGTCTACCTACTCGAAAACTCTGATTGAACTGAAGGGGGCAACTAGCGGGACAGGGACGGGGGGATCAGTAGCCTCGTTATCATGTTAGAGAGGTGAAATTTTCATTTTTTTTAGCATTTTATTTTTAAAAAAACCTCGCCGAGTGGACAAGAGGTGTCGGCACAAACAAGAATCGAGCAAGAATGAAAAATTCAATGGAAAAATTAGAAAAAACAATATTTCACTTAAATCATAAGAAAACTCAGAGAGAATTTGTATTTCTTTTTGCCTAGACGCTATACCGCATATTTTTTGTGAAAACATGAAAAGCTATTCGGTATGTACAGTAAGCGCACAGAACTGGAACAACTGAACAAGTCGTTTACAAAGAAATGCGTACACTTACTTCCGTCTCTGGAGTCAGCTCTCTCAGTGGGTTTCAGTCCTCACTCCAATGCCTTGGCGGATTTTTGGCTAGCATAGCTAGCATAGCATAGCTAGCATATTTTTAGCTAGCTTGGCTAGCATAATTTTTGGCATAATTGGAGCAAAAAAGCATAATTTTTTAAACGAGCACTGCCACGACATAATTAGCAAATTTTAGCACTTTTTGCAGCATAAATTCAGAAAATTTAGTAAATATGGTGTATTTTCTACAGAAATAAATTAAATCAGCTGCAGTGAAGCAGATTCTATTGGTGCAGCCTTCCTCTGCTGCAGCTGAGCGAGCCTTCTCCCTACTCTCAGCGGCATTTAGCAATCCGCAGGACAGCGCTCTGCCAGACTATCACCAGGCCAACGTATTGTTGCAGTACAATAAGCGCTGATGTTGACTTGTGTATACTATTCTTATTCATGTTTATTCAGCAATTATTGGTGCTGAAAGAACTCAGAACTGTCAAGACAAGTTGATTTACTTCGTGGCTTGATACTTTCAACGTTATAGTTCGCTATAGTTTGAGTTTGTATAGTTTGAGTTTGTTTAAATCAAGAGGGTACTATATTCTTTTGGTTCAGTCAGTATATACAAGTGTGATCGTTAAGTCGTTGAAGGCATTTTACAAACAGTTCAGAGATGCGAGCAGCTAATTTGGACAGCTGAGGGCCGAGACAAACTGCCATAAAACACAAATAAATTTACAACAACAGGTTATTTGAAAAACATCATAATTTGGTGTCGTTGATGCGCGACTATATGTACAGAATCTACGTCATTTGGTGAGCATAATTTCGGAAAACAGGAGCATAATTTGGGAATTCTGGCATAATTTGGCAAAATTTCGAGGGCTGGTAGTAGCATAATATGCCACTTTTAGGAGCACAATCCGCCAAGGCAGACCAGACTCACTCCTACTCAAAAACTTGACACTGCGACGAAGAATCCAATACAGAAATGATCGTCTTAGCGCAGCTTCCCTTCGTTACAGAAAGCACGCTGTAGTACGTAGTCACCATTCTCATAAGTGAGCACAAGACCTTAAATCGGATATGGTTTCGTGTCGGCTGACTGTGCCTTTTTTTAGCCTTAGTTTTGAACAAATTATATTTTAAATAAAAAATTTTCACACATTTACAACAATTCCTGAAAAGCTGCCTATTTCCCAAGTGCGCATGCGTCCGGAACTTCCTTCCCACCATGCTAGCTTTCAGATTCCCTTCTTACACCCGGACTCCATTTAAAAAAACGACAAACTTGAAGGAAAAAAAGGATTTACTTTATCCCTGATTTTTTTTTATTATTATTTTCTATAGTCAATTTTTTATATATTGTCTGTCTGTTTGTATTTTGTTTGTATTTTTTTTTTTGTAAGAGTACAGATCTGTATGAAATACTGCCCACACCTGAGGACACAATTTAAGAACCATTTGTACTGGTCCAACTGACTGACACTTTCTCTATCACTTCTGCATAAGTCAGTTAATTACTAGTCAGAGGAACTGAACGAGAGATTCAAAGCTGTTGTAAGACGTAAAAAAGACCAAGATTGCAGTACGTACCACACATATGTTCGGCCGACCGGACCTTACACCCTGTCTTCAGATCAGACTTGGCTACAAAGGCTTGAGTGGGGTATCACGCCCTTTTCATACCACGCCAGCGGCAAGCTGGGCTGCTGGGAATCGTGAGAAAGGAATTGAAGGGCCGACAGTCGAGTGTTACAAGTGCCATGCTATTGAGCAATCCCTGAAAAAATGCGAACAGTCTCTCTTGCTGGAAACTTTCTTCTTCCCCGCGCGCCCAAGAGAGCATGGAGAGGTTTTGGGTTACCATTGAAAGGGTCATAATAATAATAATAATAATAATAATAATAATAATAATGGAAACTTTATTTGTGTTTTTGGATGTACAATTGTAAATCTCACTACGTATAGGCAATTTACAAATGCTGCTTGAGATTGGACTATTAAAAAGAAAAAAAAACAAAAAACAAAAACAAAGCAAAAAGAAAAAGAAATCAAAATTGCATTAATTCTGGACTATCCCAGTTCCTATTTCTACAACAAATAATAATAATGATAATAATAATAATAATGATAATAATAATGGTAATAGTAATAATGGAAACTTTATTTGTTTTTGAATGTACAATTGTGTAATTTAAACTAAAAAAAAAAGGAAAATTTCTATGTTCATCCCAATGATAAATATAATAATTATTAAATTTTACTATTTACAGATTCAAGAATATGAAATATTAAAATATATACCCTATGTACATTCTTCTTGTGTACGAAAGAGAATTGTCGTAAAATGACTATCTAAAGACTACTAATAACAATTATAAAAAGCATCAAAAAGTTAATAAAAAATAATGGTTAATAAAAAATAATGGTAGCGAATATAAAATGGGAGAAATTCCTCAATTTCTTTAGGATTGCAAGAGTGCGATAGCAAGAGGCTGAGACTTGCTTAAGATTTTCTTCCCATTTAAGGTGGAGATCAATGTGGATTCCACAAAGTTTTGCTGAGGATACACGTTCTAAAGATGTGCTTCCAACTCTTAGGTCAATATCATTGTTGTCAAGTTCATGATAGGAAGAAAGTTTACTGAAAGATAAAAACATGTACTTCGTTAGTTTGCTAGGATTTAGGACATGGTTAAATTGATTCGTTTGCCCAGCATTGTAGTTTGTCCACATTACGTTGCGTTGAGGCAATGCAAGATGTAACTTCACCAGGCTTCGATGCTTGATATATGGTTGTATCATTAGCGTATTGATGGCAAGCACAACTATTTTTCCATGCAGATCAGCCACATATATGTTAAAAATGAGTGGATCTATAATCGGAGCCTTGTGGGCCTACAAACTAAACGCTAACAGATTTTGAATGCGGTCATCAAAGTTTTAAATACGGTTACAAAGGTCACAAAGTGCTCTCTTCCACAGAAGTAGTTGACTGTTCATTTAAGTTATGACCTTGAGAAACCAAGATCGCATTCATTTTCTCTAGGACAGACCTATATTTTACCAGATTTTACAGTGTCAAATGCCTTCGAGAAATTTGCTAAGACGAGCAGAGTGTATTCGCTCCGGTTCATTGCATCCAAAATGTCATCACGTATGCTCAATAAAACAGATGTTGTAGAATGGCCTTTCCTAAATCCAGAAATGTTATCCTCAAGAACATGGCAGTTTTCTAAGATCTCAACAACGATACACGATTTCATTTCAGTGGTAGCAGAAAAAAAAAATAAACAAGATAAAAGATAGCCGGGTGTCCAAGGCAACATTTCGACCCGACCTGTAAATAGCCAGGCTGAACTGATTTCTGTTCGCCTATCTACTAGCTGGGGTTTGGAGCGAGTGTTTTCACCTAACAAGGAAGTTTCATTTAAAGAAATTGATTGTAATTCTTTCCCTTTCATTGGCACGTTTCTATGATTGGTAAGATTCAATTTGGCGAACGTCTGTGAGCCCCACAAGTTTTTAAATGCAACTTGAAATTTAATTTCTACTAAAACTCTTAAGAGAACTCCTTTACAGATCAATCACCGACGAAAAAGGGCACAAACTGGTATGCTGAAACTGCTGATGTACAAAAAGCCTGTTTGTCCAGCTCTTGTCCTGTTATAGAATGTTCTTGAAACACTATGTAATATTCTTATTACTTCGAGCGGTCTTTTCAAGTACATAAACGATACAATAGTCTACGAGATGGTGGAGAAAAAAGGGACTACGTAGTCATGCGCAGTCCATCCTCGATGAGGTGCATGTCCGCATGGTCTACTAACAACAAGTTCCAACTCCACCCCAGTAAATGCAATGGACTAATTAAGAATAACCTTGGCACGCTCTCCGACAAAACATGAACTTGTGGAAATCGATGGTTGTAAGATTGAAACAATACAGACAGTTAAGTTATTAGGCTTTTATCAGTCTCATGTAACAGAAATGACAAAAAAAGCTGCCAAACGCTTGTATTTTTTAGTGCAACTAAAGCGTGCAGAAGTATCACCTGAAGAACTGGTTCGGTTCTATGAAGCTTGCATCCCGTCTGTTTTAATCAATGGCTGCCAGGTTTTTCATTTTAGTCTTCCACAATTCAGTATCTAAGCTTACCTTTTGATCGGATACAGAAACGTGCTCTGAGCGCAAAATGCCGCTTTTGCCTTGCTTGGCTCATAACAGACAGTCATGCATATCACTCAGCGTAAACCTGTCTGTTCCAGCACGAGTACTTCTTCCTCAACAATTATTGCGTTTGAAAAAAAGTCGGCGTAACCGGCGCCTACCACGCAGGCTAAGGGAAATTAAAGCAATTGGGCATTCATGGTTCTTGGGTATCCTATGGTAATAAGAGTGATTAACTGTGGTCAAGTGGTAGTCAACTAGAACGCTCACTTTAATTTCCGCTTGTTTTTTTTTCTACCAAAACGACAGTTTTATCATGTAACCCAAGATATTGCACAAATATTTGATGAACGGATAATAGAACCGATATGGAGAGCAGCAAATTAAAAAAAATAGAGCTCTGGCTGTACAAACAATCTTTTTTAATGCAATTTGTGCTGTTTGTTTTCTGATGTTTGCTTGACACACCTCGCGTTATCTGTACGACTTTGCATTTCATTCTCATGCAGTATCCCTTGATATCTTACCAGGACAAGGAACCCTGTTTATGCCCAGTTGCACTTTTACGTTCACTTAAAAACTGAAGGGCTGTATGCATGGAGCAGGGAGGAAGGTCCTAGCACCAGGAAGATCCAAGAAGGCGGATCATCCTAGAGCCACGTTTTTTCTGTATTCAGTTTACATGCAAAGAGTTGTACTTGTCCCTAGTGCTAGGATCTTCCCACTAAAGTGGTAGGTAGAAGCTAATGCTAGAAAGATCCTAGAACCATGTAGACCATGTAAATTGCCTTCGCTAGGAGGATCTTAGTACGAGAGACAAACGGGACAAAAACTGCGACGAATCGTTCAGTGGTTAATCACGGCAACGAAGGCCGACTATTTATATCATTTGGCGTTACTACGAGCTGATTATGCGATAATTCTGCTGAAAAGTAAGAGCCGAAGGGCTCATTTTTGATTCCTCGCTGATCCTCCTGATCTCTACTTGGGCACCACAAGGACCGAAATTTCTGCATGTAAACCTAGCGAAACGTACTTGTTCTGCCTTAGCTACTGAATTCTTCCTCGCTCCATGTAAACAGCCCCTGGATATACTCTCTGGCATAAAAGGTTTCCTTTGCCAGGTATCTTCCAGCTCTTGTATGTGGCATTTCCGTTCATATGTGATCAAAAGATACTATAACTGCAGGACTCTTTGCTCTAACCTCGAACGCACCCTATATTTCTACGATTACCGTAATTAGTACATGAACAAGGTGACACGATTGACAAGGTGAAAGAAGAATGTTTCGGCCATACAGGAAGTCCGGATTAGAGAATTTAAGTCGCTTATGGAGAATTTTGGTCAGTAACAAACTTAAGGTTCCAGGGTATATAAATTAATAGTCTTTTTCGTATCCTTCAATAATTGGCGCAGCAAAATGCCTAGACCAGTGTTCCTTGATGAGCTCATTCGATGGACGCGTTTCAAGAAATACACTTTGTTTTTCACCAGCGTGAATATATCTCCAGACCCCTTTGAGTCGCGCAGGAATTTCAACTCCTTTGAGCTCCTTGGCAGCTACCCGAACAAGAAGAAGTTTAGGTAGCAAACTGCAATCTGAAAATCTCAAAGAGTCCCCTTCCATGAAAGCACCATTCGTACTTTTTAGAAGCGAATCCAACGCTTCCATTTTCCTCAACAGCGCTGCCTTCATCCCAGCTTCTTTGGAAGGATCTTGGTTTTTTATCAAGGCGCAGAATTTTTGGAAAATATCACTGCCCGCAACAATAGCTTCCTTGCTCTTGCTCCCGATGGGCGGATCCGGATATAACTCTTCCAAATACTTAGCGATAAGAGGGGGGTCGTCTAAAACAAGTGCTTCGTCCTCGTTGACTTGATGCACAAGAACTGGGACTTTACCAGTGGAGTTGATTTCAAGGAATTTTTTCGATTTCTTTTGAATGTTAAAAGGCATGATCAATGGTTCGATATTCTTCAACTTGCAGAGCATTTGGACCTGATGGGTCAGCGGACAAGCTGCGATCGAAGATTCATCTGAAGCCGCCTATGAAAATAAAAAAGCTTGAATTAGCTGCCAGTTTAGCATACTCATATTATACATGCACCAACCTTTTTCCAGGGTTCTCTCTTCTTCACGTTCCCGCGCTCAGCGATAGAGTCTCCGATAGGGTCTTAAGATCACGTGTCTCCCATTCGCCACTAAAGAAACCCTTATGCGGGTTGTGTCCCGCAAGTGTTTGTGGGATGGTTACTGGGGACGCACTAGTCATCTATTGGCAATTTTTTCCCCGTGTCCCTCGTAACGTTCCCAGAAGTCTTTGCGAACGTTTAGTCGGTCCAGTTTCCTTCAGGAAGAAGAGAGACCCTGGGAACAATTAAGGTTACAATTTCATCCATGCCCCATAATGAATCATGTTTTCTTGGTAACCCTTTGAGAACGGTGGCGCGGCTCATGCCCCTAAATAGTTTCATTCGATTTCAACAGAGATGCTATCTTGCAACATTATCTATTTAACGTAATTATTATAATTCAACTAAATTATTGCAATTAAAATGATATAAAATTTTGCCAGTGTTGTCTTCGATGTGAGCAATGTCAGACTTGCTCAAATGTTCAAGTTCTTATCATGATGATCCTCCTTAGGGCACTATAGCGTCGAAGAGGCTAATAACTCGTATCACTAGCTGCCGAACCAGCACCTTGACTGCCACAACTACCTGATTCTATATTGTTCAAAAGCCTTCGTCTGACATCTCAGCTCACTCCCTATTGCAAAATATAGCTTTGCCGAGCACCAATTTCACTTTTTAAGTTCTCGATTTCAGAAATGCTTAGAATATATGCGACCAGGTAATCACATGAGTTCTATCTAGCTACAATATCACATCACTCCCTACCCAACAAAACTAGTAGCGAAAAAACTAGTAGCATTCGAACAACTGTTACGTTAACCGTGGACAAACTGTTCTCAGAGAGTTGATAGTATCTCAGTCTTAGTCTCATGCGTCCTAGCTTCATGGAATAAACGGTTTCATAATTGCTTCAGCAAATCTATTTCAACAGCAATGTTTACCTACCCTTACTAGTAGAAAATATCCTGATGTTAGCTCAGATCGTGAACCGATGGACATTTCGAAGAACTACCCGTTGGGAATTAGATTCAAATTGTACTTTGTTCAGTACGTTTGGGAAACTTTTGCAAGAGAGAAAATATTATTGCGAGCCGGGGCAACAAATTTCCAACAGAGCAGTTGGCGCAATTCAGTGATCAAACCAATCTTTTGTGGGCGGTTTTCATGCATCAGTGAAACACAATTGGTTGTACTGCACCAAAACAATCACCAGCAGGTAGAACTTTCGTGAAACAACGAGCTTATGCGCGAGATAACCCCGCATAATACAGAAAACAACTTTCTTACAACCATTTTGATAAACAGTAAATTCCAAGAAATATTAAATGTTAATAACTGGACTGTTTTTGTTCTTATGGTGAACTGTAACTGATTGCTTGATAATTGTTGTAATTTCGTTTTGTTTTACTCCATGACAAACCATGCTGAACAAAATCGTGTACTATTTTTGCAATAGCATTGTGTGTTTAAGAATGCAACGTCGTGTGTGTGGAATGCGTAAAAACAATTGATCCAAAACAAAGTAGATAAGCCTAGAATTGATAAAAGATAGTTGTCTTCCTACACACTAATTAAGCAAATGCCGACATGACGTCTGTAAGTATTGTAAAGGGCAAAAAAGAATAGAAACTAAGACTATGAGAACAACTAAAGCCAAATTTAAGCCAATATATAATTTTTGAAGCTGCACCATTAAAAAGTATCCTGTTCTCGACTCTGTTTATTTTTCTGTTATCCTTGTTTGTAAATGTAACTATAGGAACAAGTTGCCTAGGTGCGTCAGAACCTAATATCAGGTGACTCACTCAGGGGGGAGGACTCAGGGAGGACATGAACAAGTACGGTAATAGCCCACCCTGTCTTTCCACTACGTAAACCTCAGTCAGATAGATGCAACTTTTCATCCATTTTCTTCAATTAGGGCGATTGAACTAACACTGTCATCTTTATTTTTGGGCATTCCCTTCTTATAATTTCTACCGCAAACCCTTCTTTTACACTGACATTTGGCTATGTAGTATTGTTCTCCCTTGAGGTAAGAGAACTCGGTTTCCGTAGGAAAAAACTCATAACTGACCCGTGAAACAAGGCTTTAGACCACAGCAACGCAAAGGTTATTTAGTTCTCAGTTACGCAGACTTATGTAAGATTGCTAAGTCAACTTTATTTGGTCAACATAACCTATAAACAGACTTCTGACAAATTATATCTCAGCTTCTTTATACAAAAAGTGAATTCCCTTCCCAGCGAACATTCCATTCGTTGTACTTCTATGCTCTAGACTACTAATCGACGATGAATGCGTGAAACTACCTTACATCAAAAGAATGTGATTACTGTCTTGTTATTTTTCTTGCTATATAGCAAAAGTGTTCACTTTGATACAAAAAAAGTATCCAAAGAAGGCTGGAATTCATCAGATCTTTGTGTATCGGTCATCGTTTCTTTCATTATTCTGGTTAAACGTTCCAATTGTGAGGAAAAATATGCGTATGCATTTTATGTTGAAATATTCTTTAGGTATTTAATTTTTTTTCTGTTACATTTCAAAACCGCTTGTGTTTGAATCTAAATTAATTATGGTCAGCTACACAGGATAACTGCTGCAGTATGCCCAGAAAGGCATAAATGACTAGTAGAAGTTCTTCTACCAGAAATTACTGTAAGAGAGCAAACAAAGTCTGAAACAGAATTAACTTAACGAACAACGATGTAAGAAAATCAATGAATGATTAAGGTATTTTTTAACTCTGTGTTATCTGTTTACATTCATACTGAAACCAGTTATTATCTGGAAGTGCTCCAGAGCGCCTCCACGTTAAACACACCACACTCTACGATGACGCAGGGAGATTTCGGTCTTTCGTTAAACGTTTCCTGTGCTTCGAGAATGTCGAGAACTCGAGCACCTTCTATAACTTGCCTGTAAAATAAAAAAGTAAGTAAATAAACAATAGAAATACATGTAACGTTATATAACAAAGCATCACGTTTATTTAAACCTCGGATTAATAGCGTAGCTGTAAAAGCCAATATCTCCGAGAAAGAAAGAGAGAGAGAATAAAAAATAACTGCGTAAAGGTTTGAGGGAGTCCATGTATATTACTGAGTAGTAGTGTATTTATTCCTCCACATCGATCCACAAAATAAACAAGTTTACAGGAGAAAAAATTACGAAATCAAGAGAAAAGGGGCAAAAATATTAAACCAGAAACCCATATGAATTTCTGATTAAACCTAATAGCTTGCCCTTATAGTTGGAAGAAAAAAGAAGGATTCTCAATTAATTGGATAGGTGGTTCCTGAACGGACGGAGCTACAGTGGAACCTCAAAGGAATATAATGAAGTGCCAAGAGGCTGGCAAAATCTGTTCGCTATAACGAGGCTTCGTTATATCGAGGTTCTTTTACATATATTTTACCATTACTGGGGCTAAAAAAGTAGTTCGTTATACCGACGAGGTATAGAGGTTCGTTATATCGAGGTTTTACTGTAAAAAGCAAGCGGCCATCTTTCCTGTCCGCTGACCGGCTTTACGGGTCTTTTATTCCTTTTGTTTGTTGTATGTGTCATGTAACTTACCCAAAGGCAACATATTTGGTGTCCATCCACGGTGCGGGCTGTAGCGTGATAAAAAATTGAGAGCCATTTGTATGCCTGCCCCTGTTAGCCATACCAACGATTCCTCTCTTGTCATGCGCAATGGAAAAGTCTTCATCTGAGATGGAAGAGAAAATGGACTCTAAAGAACTTCAGCATAAAGAGGGTTTATTTGAGGGATATCAGAAAAAGTCTCGCGCGAATGGCACGCGAGAGGAGACGGAGCCCCTCGCTGCTCGCTTCACTCGAAATAGAGAGCTTGCTCGCACGCTAAAACTGATGTTACTGGAGAGGGGCAGTAAGTGCAAAAAGTCAAGGTTGGGTCATGCTTGATTTTGTTTGGCCAAACAAGTGATTTTTGTTCATTTTCAGGCCCGACCAGTGGGGGTATATGGTGGGATACCCATATATCCGAATACCCAACATCCCTGGCCGGGCCTGACTTTTTGAGGTACTCATGAATATAAAAAGTGTTTTTTAAAACATTATACCTTCAAAGACAGGACCAAAAATCGACTCTCCACCAGTGCCTTTTCCACCTTCAATATCTGCGAACACCAAACACAACTATATTCAGTTCAAATGACTTAAAAGTCCTCTACATACAGCTTTATACTCTGAGAACCACTCGCCCTGTGATGATCCGCTTTTCAGTGAATCCATTGATTATCACAGCAGGTTTAAGACTGGATGCTTCCTAGTCTGCGTAGCTACGGGTTTCCTCTGGAGTTACTGCGCAAAAGTTGGAGCGAAAATGCGAAAGAAAAATGGAAATGGGTGAGGGGAGAAGAGGTTTCTTTTCTCCTCCCGTTCCTTCTTCAACCCTTATTTTCGCTCTCGTTACAACTTTTTCAATAAAAACGCGCGGAAACGCTTGCTACGCAGGCTAGATGCTACCTTACACAGAAACAGCGCTTCCGAACATTTTATCCCTTGAAAATTTGGCGGCTGCGCAAACGTTGTCCCCTATAATCAAAATTCTTGACAAAAAAGTAAACTCTAATTACCAGTCTGAAATAACTTTTTGTATTAAAGCAACATGTGGCATACTTTGTTTTGAGATACCCAACAATTTTTTTTTGTAAAAAATCTTATTCCATGATGCTAGTTGAAAAATTACTTAGAATTCTATACACGGGGTGCAAAGAAAGTCATTTTTAAAGCTTGCCATTCGGGCAAGCTGAAGCTAGCATATACTAGTCCAAAGGTCATTTCAACTAGCTCCAAAAACATTTTGATGAGCAGAATTGATTTCACAGTTCTTCTGTAATTTGAATTCCTCAAAAAAATTCACTTGCCCATTGGGAAAGTTAAGAATAGAATTCACTAGCCCAATAGCAAAATCCACTAGCCCTGGGCTATCAGACACCACTTTCTTTGCACGGTGATACACAATATGTAAAACAAAACAAATCTGGGGTGCCTCGTCTTAACAGGGTAGTGAAACGAGCAATTTTTTGTCTTAAACAAGGTCAGAGTTTAAAGGCCTTGCCGGCACACCTGTACGGAAGCCTCAAACCTCCCCCCTCACCCCTGCCAGGGGTGAGGGGGTAGGGTTAGTGATGGCTGCTGCAAGGACTGAAAGTACAATGTATGGGTTTATTTACTACAAGTTACACAGTGATTTTGTTACAAATAGTTATGGTGAGTCCTGGGACTCATCTTGTGAAAAAATCATGAGTCCCACTCCAGAACCTTGGAGTCCCAGTTCAGAAAACAATAAAGTCCTAAATATAAAATACTTGGGCCCTTATGTGACCAAACAGATAAAAGAGATTCTGTTGTAAAGCACAGCGAACACTCAAAGAAATGTGCGTTGTTAAACAACAGCCACAAGAACGGCCACAGAAATCACAGGAACAAGATATTCTAAAAAAAATCTTCAGATCAATCGATCGATCGATCTTTGCATCGTGTGGGACCCATGCTATGAACTTTTGTGTGTCTCTGGAAATTTTTGTGCACCAGAGACAAAGGATGCAGAGAAAACAAAATCACTGGTTACAGTTTGTCGTACCTCCACCCTGTATCCATCCATTAGGAACAATCCTATGAAGTATAGAGTTCTTGAACCACAGCTTTAAAGGAGGATCATGTCTTTCTGTTTCACTAAAATTCCCTAAACAAAGCTCTTGGAAATTCTGACATGTCTTTGGTAATCTGTCTGAAAAGAGCTGAAAAAGATTTAAGCATTGGATTTAATTAAGGACACTGATTTTTTAATCATTTTATAGTTATTTAACCTCAATGCAGGTGTTGTCTTTTGTCACAAGCATGATTTAGGCAAAACTTAACCAAAACGACTACAAGGTATTAGATCCAGGTTCAAACTCTTTTGTTCTCCTCAAATTTCATGACTTTTTCCAAGAATTTTTCAAGTTTAGCTATATCACATTCA